GCAGTACAGATACTTAGTTATTAAAGCAATTCATTGCTCCTTGGGATAATACATACTGAGAAAAATACAGTTTTGGAGCATTTTGTTAGATTTTTAACTTTAAATTTTATTCAGTAAAAGTCAGTGCTATGAAATAATTGCTCATTGCTTCGGTTCAGTAAACAGGATCCATCTATCTTTACATCGATAATCGAATGCAATATGCGACGAGCTTTTAGTAGTAGTATTGGTGATTATTCAGGTACACTGCTGCCGGTGTTATCCCTGGTACTGCTGACCAGGTTGTACCCTTGAATTTCCAATTTTGATTTGCATACTTTAAGTGAAAAAAGAGAAAAATGAGGACCAATAGGATTTTCTGAAATTGCAACAGGTAACTTCATCGAAAATAATTCTGGATATTTATGGAAATCCTAAAATTGGAAGTTTTCGGGATTTCATGTCAAGATTCAGAATTTGAAAAGAATTCGCAAGTCTTTCCTCTGTATTCTTCTGTAAGACTCAACCTGTCTTTTATATCCGTGTTGATTTACAAAAGCAGCTTTTTCTCGTAGTTTTCAATTCAACATTTTCTCTTAAACTAATCTGATTTGACGGAATTTTCTGCATTTTCATTCGGAGAAATTGTTCAGTTCTGATGTCATTTCTTTTTTTTCAAATGCCATTATATTTGTCCTTGTCTCTACCACTCAGCGCCTGAAAATAACATTTTTTTTCAATTCTAGAAGCTTAAGAAAGTGCAGAATGCTCAATGCGCCCATTGGTTCATTTGAAATGTCATTAACCAATCGTTCATGGTTATTCAGCAAACGAGAAATACTACCATTTTTTTATTCATTTTGTTTAATTTTCAATCATCACTTAAGTTACCTGGAACACAAAAACATAATCTTTAGGAGATTGCATATTTTGCTGTGACATTTTCCGGTAGAACCGGTCCTCACTTCCGCTCTCCCTTTCATTTCCTCCTCTACTGTAAAGCCAATTCCTCTGTATCACAGCTGCCAACTGCATAAGAAGTGACATCCTGTTGTATTTACTTATATTGGCAATGTTACGAAATAATCACTAAATCTTTCTGTTTCGTCCTGTTTGATGGACAAAAAAAATTTCCAATAAAAGATTTGCTTGAATTTAAAAACTGCAATTTGGGGAAGTGACGCTCTTGGAGGAAATATTATTCTTCAAGAATTTGAAATTCTTTATCAGAATTTCATATTTTGAAGCTTCTTTTTCCTTAATTTGTAGGAATAGGAATAGTTTTTTCCTTTCTTATTTACCTTATTTCATTTGGAATTATCCAATATCGTTTGATCTACACTTCTCCTGAAATTCATTAAAACAGCTGACAGTAAAAACAGTGCCAGCTACAACTAAAATTAACAGATGATTTAAAAGTTTCCTACAGATGACTTAAAATTCCTAGTAGTTCTCAAATTTATAATTTCTTCCGCTTGGCCGTATTTGAGTAATTAGTTTAGAGTTTTTCTTGAATAATATCCCTTTAACTTTAGCTTTCTTGATTTTCTTCTATTTTCTTCAAGTGACTTTGTGTATCATTTCTATTCAGCCAGCTTTTTTCATTTCAAATCATCACCCGTGTACATTATTCCTTCCTTAAGCAACGAACTTCTCCCCTCCTTTTATGACTGCGATAGCGATCACTGATCTGTGGAGATTCTCTATACAAACTGTTATTGCTGTTATTACTGTTGCTGTTGCTGATATTGTACGAACAACAAAGTCCAAGGTTATTTAACTTTTACACATCAATCATTACTGTACTAAACTTTGCTAAAATATCTTAATATGATTTCCTCAGCACCGTATTCATCTTACTAGTGACTGGCGAGAGCACGGATATTTAACCTGAAACGGGCTAAATAATTTTTCCGTTTTACAGTTTAAATTAAATAAAAGTATGTAGTTAGTAATATGGCGTAATGACTTTTTTCGATAACATCTTTCTAATAAAAGATTGTGATAGTATAATTGGTCAGAGTTTGATAAAGAATAGTATTGGGCCATAATTTAGAGGGTAAGCTTACCACAGAGAGTTTTTTAAATTCTTTTAACTGCATTACTTGATGTTGATCTCCATAAGATGCACTTAAAGTGGCGCAAAGAAGTGGGATGCAGCCCAATTCTTTCTGGTAGTTTTGGCTTTTAAAATATTTTATTTACTTATATATTCGTGAATACTCTGAGCCTTACATTAAACAGTTGCTGTTATCACTGTTGTTATTTATCGCAGCTGTGAGTGTTCAAATACGATTTCGAAGAAATTTCAGTTTCTTATGGTTTAATCACAAAGTTATTAAAATTGTTAATTCTTGGCTGTTAGATCTGCCCAAATATTCAAGGCAAATCGATGGGTAATCACACGCTGAACATAGCCAAGCGTCCATTATAGCCAAGTACTGTAAAGCTTACATTGTCAAACAATTTTATAATTAGTTATTGATGAAAAGAATGCTTTACATATTGCGGAAATTAACTGTCCATTTGCTGAGCACAGATTATCTTAGTCTATTATGCTCGTCAGACACAACATTACATAGGCCCTCTGAGACCCATAAGATATCAGCCGTAAATCTTGTTAAATCATTCATCACTAGTCAAAGTATCTGTGGTCAAAGGGAAAACTAAACTGAAATAATCCAACTATAAAATTAATTAGTTGAGATATCTTTCTAACGAATTGAATTGTGTTGTAAGTGATAAAACATTGAAGCCAATATTTTGCAAATCGATCCCTTATTTCATTTCAACCGAAGCGCATTCGTGAAAGAATAACTTAGTTCACAAGGGCCATTATCCATTTGTTATTAACGTAAATATATCAAAATGAAAAGGAATAGAAATTGGATCAAATTCAGACAAATGAGCCCAACGGAACAATGATTGTGTATGATTGAATACTTTCTAATATGAGCATTTCATCGCTAAATTTTTCAAATAAATAAATGTTGAAAAAGAATGGATTGTAGGATTGTAGCAAAAGTTGCAGACAGCGAATTTCTTTTCTTCTCCGTATAGGCGGAGTGGGTTCCAGTATTCATTGCGGTCATTTACCACTACTGATAATTAGCTTTCTCCTGTACAGAGAAGGATGACCATTACTGATTTCGGGATGTAGTAGTGATACCAGATTGTCAGAGGCTCGCCAGTTTTATTGACTGATTCCTCACTAATTTATCCAATTCGAACTAATTAAGATAGGAATTCATCCTCTTCACCTCTCTCAAATTCCTTTCTTGTCATTCTTCATTCCACTCGTCTTTTATTATCATCCGCGCCATCAGTTTTGCATGATCATGAATGTTTCAAAATAGCAAATTTTGAACATAAATCTTTTCTGTATGAAATTCCCTAGAAATTGGTTCACGTTGTTATCTCCTTTTAAACGTAGTAAGAGACACTGCAAACTGCATGCAACACTTTCCTATTATATGAAGTTTAATTATATTTCTATATATAATTGCCTTGAAAAATTCAATATATAATTATCTCTAGTTCTAGTTATATTCCTCGATGAGATACTTCACTTATTTTTACTCACTTTAACGAATTCGTCCTCATAAATTCGCCTAAAGTATTTTCGCATTCCGAAAATATGCATTAAATTATAAAACATTCAGATCTGCGGCTGTCTCGCAAATTAATTTCAAGCTGGCTATGATAACCAATAACAAATGAAATGAAATAAGATGTCATTATATTTGCATAGTATGAGTGATAAAGAAAGAAATGCATTTGAATTCGTCAGATGGAGTAACGTCAAAAAATTTAGCAGAAATTTCAGACAAAATAGAGTCGAACCAAAGGATTGACAATAATTCTCGGAGAGAAAATGAAGACAGCCAAGGTAAAAAACGTAAATCACCAAAGAAAGTGAGGAACAATGCGTCTAGGGATTTTTTGGCAAGACCAGAATTAAGAAAGACGAGCGGTTTGCTCGTACTATTTGAACAAGGTGCGACTATAGCGCCTTGCAGTTATTCGTCTTGATGGAGATTTCGTTTCAAACAGAGTTCTTTAAAAGTTTTAACGTTCGTCTATTATTGTGTCCCGAGGTCATCCTCATTGAACCGAATAGTAATAGTATGGGGATTTGAGATCCTACCATGATGTGTTATGATTCCAGAACAGATAACCTACTTGATAATCATTTTATTTGGCTAATTTTGAGTAAGATTTCTCGTATACTGACGTCAAGAGGGTAAGGGAAATTAAACGATGTGGGGAGTAGCATTCAAATTGTAAGCAAACTGTGACCTTTGATAGTTGTTACCGGTCATTAATTCATTACTCTCCCATCATATCTATCTTCCTCTCTCTCTCTCTCTCTTTCTTGCAGAATGCAAATTGCATTTGTCTTTCATATGAGAATCAAATATTTTGTCACGATTTCGTTTACTTTTCAACGCCAAAGTTGTTATTGTGAATCACTTCGAGAGATGACCGAAATGAAGAAGGGATGAAAAGAAACGAGAGTGAGAATGCCGTAATGACATGAGGAGAAGAAAGTTTAGTACGATTCAATTGATACTTAAAGATAAGGTAGGTAGGTAGGTAGGTACTGATCCCATATGGACAGTTCATCTGTGTAGCTCTCAGACAAGCTCTTCCAATACAACCTTAAATAGGCTTATGACGGTAAAGAATGTTCAGAATGTCAAGAGCTGTGAAGGAGACCTTGCGATTGAATGAATGGACGATTTCGTTGTCCACTGCAACCTCAGCCACAGTCGTGAAGTGAGGAGGAGCAGATGGTAAGTTGTGCGCATAAGTCCGTGATACCTCTTTCCCTGCCTGACCATATTGGCAGGAAGCTAGGATACACATACACATACACATACACATACATATATACCACATACACATATATACACACATGCACATACACATACACCCACACATCAATGACAGATGGATGACAAGCAGTTTGCATTCGTTCTGTGCACGAGGCACG